TGGGGCGGGGGTTGCTCCCCTCTCCCCTCTCCCCGCGTCGTGAGGCACCGCTCCAGCCAGGTCAGTGAGCCTTCTTGCCTGCGTCTCTCTGCCAGTGCCACGGTGCCGGTTAAGGCGCGTTAGCTTTTCAGAAGAGAGCCAGAAATCAGTGTTCCTTGTGCTGTTCTGCTTGGGAATCCTCCGCTTTTCCTTTCTTTCATCGCTTCATCCTCTTAACCTGCCGAAAAGCAGACTTACTTTTCTTGCGTGAACAAGTCCTGTAGGCGAGGTTTGGGGCGCCCCGGTGAGGAGGAAAGGAAGCTATAAAAGCACACGAGCAGTTACAACTCGGATAGGTAGGCAGCTGGAGTTCCTGCTGGTTTTTGAAAAGTGTGAACATTTTAGCTGAGCCGCCAGACAGGTGCTCGGAGAGCCAGGGAGGATGCCAGCAAACCATGCAGTCTTTAGTTTTAAAGATAACTCGGAGAAGAAAGCTCTGAGAACCCCACCTCTCTTAACTTGAGCTTTGGGGGAAAGTATCAACTTCACTGTCCAAGTTAAAGAGGACCAGTTAAAAGACGAGGAAATTAGCATCCGACATATTCCACCTGAGTATCGAGGAGGAAAGAACCGCTGCAAACCTTGTAGATAACTAGCCCAGTCAGGCAATTGTGAAGGAAAGAAATGAATTGATGAGTATTTTACTTTTTAATTTATTTATTTTTTTAGTTAGTTTGTTTTGTTGTGTTTCCCCGAACCATGGGAAGCATGTAACATAGTTACACGTGTGGTTGGCTGCCCTACGGCTTTGCAAGAACTACTTAGTAATTCTTGATAGTTAATTTGTATAGTAATACTACTCTGAATAGAGTAACAATTGCCATGCTTTTTTGTTGTTGTTGGTTTTACCTGTTATCCTGGGTATGAACTTCATGGCATATTTAACATTTGTTATGTATAGTATTTCTTCATTATAACATCCCTGTGAAACTGAATAAACTATTTTTAGAGGAAAAATTAGACACAAGGTAAGAACTCTAGATATCACTCTAGAGATTATTACAGTGCCTTAAAATTAGTTGCTCAAACCATGTGTAGATTTGAGTGCACTGAACAAATAATTATATATTCTCTATATATTTATGAGTGTTAAGATATACTGAGTGGATTGATGGCAGCCAGCATATTCAAATGAGTGAGTATGTGAGTATGCCCCAGAACAGGAAAAGATGGAGAGAGAGGATTTAAATGCTTCTGTGTAGCCCTAAATTACAGGATTGGAATTCACAGGACAAACCATTCCTAGGCTTATGTGCCAGTGAAGAAGAAAAGGAAAGAGCCACTTCTGTATAACAGCCTAATGTGTAGCAGTCAGCCATGACTATATTCTATTTTGGGCCATTTTAGAAATCTTTGTGTAGGAGTATTAACCTGTTCATCCTTGGCCAGCATGAGATGGACTGAGAAATTTGTTTAACAATTGTATCTGCTGTCTATAAACTGTGGTTTTTCAGGGTTTAGGCATAGATATAGAGAAAGTCTAAGTCCATTTCATTATGCTGAAGGCATCTGATGCTAAATTCAAGTTTTTCCACTGAAAAAAAAAAAAAATTCAACCCAACACTCTCCATCTCGTGTTACTTCTGCAAACACTTATGTATGTTAAGAATATTATGCATAGTGGGGCATTTGTATAAATATGTAAGTCCTTATGTTAGGAATGCTTTAAGACCTGGTATGGAAGTGTATGCAAGTCTTGTTCACAAAATATAAATATATGGTAAATTACTTTTAAAAAAAAAACCCTTTCTGTAATCATCTCCAGCTTGACAATTGTAATCTATTTTAAAATGTCTATAAATGTCTGTTACCTTAAGAACTTCAAGAGGACTTGATACGACTCGTAAATTTATATGCATGGGAATTCAATTTTGAGGTGCTCACTTTTTTCATGTTCTTATTCCCTACCTTGTTCTTCTTTCTGGCCTTCTTGAAAAGATAGACCTGAAACATATTATAAATGCCATTTTGTTCTTGTTGTTGCTTTTGATTTTTGTTTTGTGTTGTTTTGTGTTTTTTTCTGGTGTGTATGTATTTTGTTTTTGTGGTTGTTTGGTTTTGGTTTTTTGTTGTTTTGGTTTGGTTTTGTTTATATTTTAGAATGGACAAGTTAAAGAAAAAAAGTTTTGGGTCTAATCTTCCTGGGGAGAGTTCCGGGTCTGTTCCAGAAGATAATCGCAGTATTCGAGGAAAAATAAGCTTTTCCGCATCCCAAGAGTCACTTGGCGCTACATCCCGAAAGCTATCGAGGTTTTACCGGAGGGCTAGTAGAAGTCTGTCCTTCCAAGAAGTTTTTAAAGAAAAACAGGTTTAGTATTCAACCATAGGTCTTGAAATAGATTTCTGGTTGTTTGCTAAGGTGGTTCAATTCAGTTTATGTTATGTCTTTTTTCTTTTCCATTTTTTTCCTTTCTTTTTTGTTCATATTCAGATCTTTTATTAAATTGCTCCTGGTAGAAAGTGAGTCTTTGTTTTTAATATCTGTAGTGTTTTAATATTTAAAAATAATAGAGGAAAGATGTAGCAGATAACACCTGAATACTTTACACTGAAGCAAAGTTGTACCTGACTTAGTGCCTGCAAATATTTATCTACTCTAGATATTTTAGTTTTATATTAAATTATTAAATTATAAATATAAATATTTCTTGTTAAAAATAGAACCGGTTAATATGGCACAAAAATATATTAAAATGTGACTGTAGTATATTTGATATTTACTTTTCATTGACATATCCTCAGAATTGGCTTTGAATTTTAGAATAATTCATAATATTTTGTTCTTTTGTTATCCTCAAAAAATTAGGTATTCACAGAGTGGGGCAGTTATGCAGTCTTATAATGCAAGACAGTAGATTTCAGTGTTAGTTGCAAGTTAAGTAGCATTTACAGTCATTGCAATTACTTAATGTATTTTGAGTTTGAAAGACATGTAATGTTTTAGGCTCAGTACAAAAAAGCAAGAGAAGAGAGAAGAGCACAAATTAATGCTTGTTATAAATACGTACTTGAAATTGTCAGCACGAGCCTAGGTTTAGACCTAAAAACTGTGGAAGAAATGATTTTGGATTCTCTTTCGGTGAGTCTGATCTATGTATTTCTTTATTTCAGTTCTTAATGAATGTGTGTAGCAGATTGCCCTTTTGATATGAACTGTTATCCATGATTCATATTATTTCTGCCAGAAAATGCGATTAATAAAGCAATCAACTAAGATAATACCGACTAAATAATTCAGCTTAATTTCCTGGTGAATTTGCAAATACTCCTTGGGTTTTTGTTTGTGGGTTTTGGTCTTTCTGACCTCAAGGAAAATTAGTGCTGTTATTTTGACCTGAGGACTTCTTGTCATGTCCACTAGTTCCAAAAGGTTTCATCTATCTTGTATACTATTATATTCTAAAGACAATAGTCTCTATTTGTTAAGGTAGTCCTCTCTGAAATACCAAAGGTTCT